AGAAAGAAAAAAAAATTCAGCGCTGAAACGAATATATTTGAGATAACTTTCACGAAGAAAGAGAACAGCCGGTAATACACAGAAAAACCGACTGGCCGGAAATACGAAAAAGCTTAGTGGAAGTTGCAATGGCCAGACTGACCAGAAACAAATCGACTGGGCCAGACAGAATTATAATAGAGATGCTGGCAGCCTTAGATAATTTCAGTATAGCCGATGTTACAGAAATAATAAGTGAAATCTACAACAGCGGTGATATACCGGAAGATCTAAGCAGATCTATTTTCATAGGACTGCCTTAGAAACTAGACTCAAACGAATATATACTCCACCGGACAATGAACCTAATGAGCCACATAACAAAACATATCCTAATTCTGATGTATAGAACGCGCAGCAGAATCAAGCCAGATAAAGGACAAGAACAGGGCGGGTTCGTTAAGGACACCAGAACAAGGAACACGATATTTATCTTCAGAATTTTTATCAGAAAGAACAATACAAATGCAAAAGGCGTACCTGTTTTATAGACGACAGAAAAGCATTCGACAAAGTACGTCACAAAGATCTGTTAGAGCCGCTCAGCAACCTTGACATATTTGGAAAAGACATTTGAATAATCAAAGATCTCTACTGGCAGCAAACTGCATGAATATGGATAAAAAATGAGTTCAGAAGATATACAAAAATAGAAATGCGTGTAAGGCAATGATGTGTCTTCTCGCCGGATTTATTCAAGCTATGCAGCGAGGCAATTTTGAGAGAACGGGAAACCCTACCAAGATTTGTAACTGGCGCCTAAAATCTTAACAACATACGATATGCAGATGGCACAGTGTTGAAGGCAGACACGGAAAGGAATCTACAAATCTCCTACAGAAGGTATCGAATGAGAGCAAGAAGGGACTAAGCATAAATTACAAGAAGACAGAATGCGTGGTCATCAGCAAAAAGATGAGCTCAAAATGCAATTTATAGGTCGGGGACACTAAAATCAAGCAGATACAGAATTTTAAATATCTGGGAAGTGTTAGTAAGGAAAGTGCAATATTGAGATCCGAAGATGGACATGAAGCATTCCAAAAGCTAAGGATACTATTACGAGACAGGGAAGTTTCGTTGGAAACAAAGAAAAGAGTGCTGAAATGTCACGTGATATCTGTCATCCTGTATGGCAGCGAATGCTGGACAATCTCCTCAAAGATGAAGAAAAGACGCAAAGCACCAAATATGTGGTTCTACAGAAGGATGCTTTGGATGCCATGGGCTGAACAAGTGAGCAACGACGAGATTTGGGAGAGAATGAAAACAAGAACCTTGGACTTAACATCGGGAAGAGGCAGATGAAATTTCCGAGTTATGGAATGAGAAAGTAGGGCTTGGAAAATCTGATACGCGGATAGACGGAAAGAGGGAAAGCGAAGAGCAAAGCGCGATATATTTAATAGACTTGAGCTAGTGGATGTCAGAACAGGGTCTGGAAGAAATAGCAAAAGAACAGAGCTTATTAAGAGCTATAAGGAAGTGGAGGAGGGCTATGATCTCCTACTCCCTGAAGGGATACAGCACATAAAAAAAAAAGAAAAGAAATTTACCTCCAACAGGGAAAACATAAATGTCGGTTAATCAACATACTGACCGAACTCACCATAGTGGATAAATAAATGCCTGACAGGTGACAGAAAAAAAAAACTCATGTCCATTAAAACATCTCAGACAATACATGTTTCTAGTTTTTTTAAATTTTTTTATTATATTTTTTAAACAAATCCATCAATAATTACGTTTGGCATATCGCCAGCCGCCTGACACATATGTCTGACCAGATCTTCATACAAACACATTTAAGCAGGTATGGAATTGGACCAAATTAGAATCTGATACGCAACTCCGATTGCAAAAATGTATAAAAGTGATTGTCTTTATTATAAAAAAAAAAGAAAAGAAAACAAGTAACCAATCCTTAATACCATCAATTATGAAGACGAAGAAAATGTGGTTTCTGTATTCAGAAGCAGGAATATGTCTATTTTCAGCAAATTTTATATTTTCTACAGTAACACTTAAACACTATTTATTATAATAGTATAAAAAAAAATCCCTGTTAATGGCTTTTGGATAATATTTACTACTCATTTAATCTAGAAAAGAAAAGAAGGAACTAAGAGAAAAAAAATCCCATATATATATTGCCGACTGATTTTAGTAAACCACATTTCAATGAATACTTACAATCTGATAGGTTACACTGAAACACTATATATATATATATATATATATATATATATATATATATATATATATATATATATATATATATATATATCAAAAGTGTATATAAATATAAATAAATATATATATGTATAATTATTTATATATTATATGCGCGGTACTTATATCAGAGATAGAGCTAACATATATAAATTTCAACATACAAACGCGTATGTAAAGACACAACACCACCCGTATACATACATATGTCATATCCGAAACTGCCCACATATGTTTATATATATATGAGTCCCGACGGACGACCAAGTATGTATATGTGTCTGCATACATCGATGTTTGCGTTAGTACGATGACATAAGCGACGAAGTTTCCCCCACCACTTTCACAATAACACCAATACACGCAATCTACATAAACCTAACATAAATTAATCAGTTTGTCTGACGATCGCTAAAGCGTGAAACCTAGGGTCACAAACTGACATCTATCCAACCATATATATATATATATATATATATATATATATATATATATATATATATATATATAATTACTATTCAAACGTTATTTTTAGTGGGTACTCGTATCTGAAGGTCAGTTTTTATTTTAAACAGGTTGTATTGCATCTATCGACCTGCGCCCTGCGCACTCATCAAATCTTAATCTCCAGATCTGCGTCTGCCTTTGACCAGGCGTGCCATAGATTTTTTTTTTCTCGAAAGCCTTAATCTGCGCAGTTTCTTATCCGAAACGTAAATAAAGCAATTTCTAAAGAATTAATGTATTTATTTTTAATCCGACACTTATATTGCTTCGCACGTTATTTACAGTGGATACTGTATTTGAAACAGACACCTCGTTTTTTTTTAATTTTAAACCGTGTGTATTAAATCTATCAGCGTGAGAACTGTTTAAGATTATATATATATATATATATATATATATATATATATATATAAAGGTACGTCTCTTTCAAATACGAGTATCTACTAAAAGTAACGTTTGAAGTAAAAAAAAATTCGGATTAAAAATAAATAAATCCATTAATTATTTAGAACATACACACACACACACACACACACACACACACACACACACACATATATATATATATATATATATATATATATATATAGTGTAACCCGGTTATAAGAGAGTTGTCGGGACCGGAGAAGAAGTCTCTTATATCCGGGTTTCTCTTATATCCGGGTTTGGTCTAATTTATATACATTAACACAGGCTCTAATTTGGGACCAGAGAAAATCTCTCTTATATCCGGGTTTTTCTTATATCCGGGTCTCTTATATTCAGGTTACACGGTATATATATATATATATATATATATATATATATATATATATATATATATATATATATATTCTAAGCGAAAGAGAGATGTATTCTAGAAATATTTAGTTTGAAGATCCATTGATGCGTTAAACAAGATTTCTACGTCGACACTGCCTATATCTATATATCTCTATATCTCTCTATTTGTCTGTACGTCAATCTATTTCTCTATCTCTCTTTCTCTCTCTCTCTCTTTCTCTCTCTCTCTTTCTCTCTCTCTCTCTCTCTATATATATATATATATATAATCTTTTCTGAAAGAAACTTTTACATATTCTTACATAATGAAAATTACAAAGTTATATGAGGAAGATGCCCATCATTATTTTTTTTTAAATTTCCTGAATTTAAGCATAATGAACTGCATGATTTAGCGAATCAAGTTTCCATCAGGTTCCCTGGTTGATTTGCGTTCAGTCTAGTTGAAAAATGTCATATGCTTTCGTTCAGTTGAGAAGCGAACAACGTCACTATGACGAATTAATTAGAAAGAATTAACTGATATAAGATATATTCTAGAATAGAGAGCGAAATGTGAAGTATCTACCCCCGTAAACTGAATAACGTTTTCTTTTCAGCCCATACTACTACTAACTTTAGTTTAAACTGATACTTTTTTTTCTTTTTTCTTTTTCTGTATACTAAAATATGTATTATAAGTAAAACCTTACATTTTCTAAACTGAAAATTTAACTGAATTATATTGGGGGGTGTTTTCTTCTAAAATCAAGAACATAAAAACTTTAAGTAAAATTGTCACAATATTCGGGCAAATAAAGGAGCCGTCAGTTTAAGCTGACGCTAGGAGGATATGTGTTAGAATTTCTGGAAGTTTATCAAGTACAGAAAGCCGAATTCGTATTCCGGATGGATTTATTACATTAACTTACGTGCTAATATCTTTGGGAAATGTATGAAATCTCGATAAGAGCTATGTGTAAAATTGCAAGACAGACTAGGTCCTATAGCCTTGGATGGCAACAAGTCTAGGAGAAGGAAATTCTGAATTCAAAACCAATCGTACTATCCTAAAAGTGTGTACACATGCGGCTGGGGTCTGCTTGTGAATTCAGATTCCCACTGAAACTCCTACATTTTGCACGTCCGAATGAATATGGCCTCTGCTACTCTTGGTCTGCTTTTATTTGATGCGGCTTCAAAATATAGTAAATTTTCAGGATTGTGTCTGATTTCATTTTAATTTCATGTTTAATATATAACCCTGATATAAGTGAGAAATTTCATTTATTTTGGGTATACTGATGTGTGTGGCGGAGGTGGAGATGTAGCAGTAAATTGCGGTGATGATTACATTTCTCAGGTTTTTTTCTTTGGGAAGGTGTAACTTATGGTGATGTTACATTCACTTGTATAATTCTTTTTTTTTAAATTTTAGTTTCTGTGCACTACTTTAATGCATACGGTCATATCCCGTTGAAACATTGGTTCCAGTACGATCACCCAAGTTAAGCCACGTTGATCCTGTTCAGTACCTTGATGGGTAACCTCTTGAGAATACCAAGTATTTCAAAAATTGGGTGTGCCGATGGTGTAAAGGATAAGGGCTCGAAATTGGAAATCAGAGATCTGAACTCCAATTCCAATCGGGTTTGTTATATTCACTTACGCGCAAATACCCTTGAGAAAGGCATGAATCCACCTTTTCTCCATGCAGATATGGATTAATTAGTAAGGATTGTATCAGTAAATTATTATTATCTCGAAAAAATTCTTACAATCTAAAAGTATTTCCTGGCTTTGAATAACCTACAAAAAGTGGGCTTGCCGTAAAATGATAACTCAGTCGATAAAAAAAAAAACAAAAAAAAAAACACTGCTTTAAATAAAGTTTAGGAAGTAAATCCCTACCAATATTAGGAAGAGCGATAACAGTTCTTGGAATTAAGAAGCCTATTTTTCTGAAAAAACTGTTTTAAGAGAAAGATTTTATAAATGTCAACCAACTATAACGTGTACTGTTTTGCTCAATGATTAACAAATGTTTCCTAGACAGAAACGGTTATTCTAACAATTAGCATTAATATTACAATTCGGTTGTCATTTATCTGTAAAAAAAAATATATCTATTTCTTAATTTTTATGTGTTGTAAGAATAAATTCAAATTTAAAAATACAAAGAGAAGATATTTATTATAAACCAAATTTTCTTTTTTAGTTTTTGTTTTCCAAAATTTGGGAAAGAAAAGAAAAATTCGTTTAAAATAAAGTTATTTCCAAAAATAATCGTGGTTTCTCTTCATATTTAATAAATTTGGTTGAAAAAAAAGGCTTATACTAGCTTCATGCTAAAATACACTTCAATTCTGATTCATTTTAGCCTTGCGATGTGTATAAACTTCATGCTTATAAAACGAATCAACAGTATACAACTACAGAACGGCTTATGTCTTTAGATATTTTTTTATAAATATCTGAAAATGATACTAAAGGACATATTAATTGTAAATTATGCCCATGCTTAATGTTTGATTCGTGGTTATAATTACTTATACAGATATTTAAATTTTTAGTTATCGTGGATTTTATAAGGAGAATACATATAACTGCATATATAGGAAACTGGAAGTACATATTACAACGTCAATGGTCCTTGTAAAATTGCATTATCCTAAGTTATACTAATGTCTACTCTGTATACGGAATAATATACCAACTGAAGAAAGTGCAGTTCTAATTTGTTTTGTTTTTTTTATATATTTTAGTTGTGCGTGTGTGTTTTAAATAAAGCTTTCTTTAGTCGAATTCACACCTACTTGTTTCAAAATTAGCATAGGTATAAAAAGTTGGAAGTTTTTTTTTTCTGCTCGCATTCTCGCTGAAATTCGATCACATTCGACCTCGCCCTTTATAACAAAAGCAAGCGAAAAGAAAACATTGAAACCCATCTAAAATATGCTAACATCGACAGAGGTGCTCTGATTGCCGGACAATTTTCTCAGAGATTAAAAACTTCAGGCAACTGTGGTTCCCCAGAAGGATGTTGAGAATACCATGGATTGAACATGTGAGTAACGGGGAAGTTTTAAGGAAAATAGAAAAAAAAAAAGGATACTTATATTTAGTATCAGAAAGAGACAATTGAAATATTTGTGGTATATAGGGAGGAAAGAGGACCTGGAGAATTTCACAGTCATATGACATTCTGAAATAAAGAAAGAGTAAAACAGCGAACAAGCTATCTGACGAGGAACTGAGAAAGAATAAGTACAGGAAGTTGTGGAGGGCCACCTTCTGAAAAAACATGGCACATAGAAGAAGAATGTTACTGTTACAATCGAAATATTTTGACGCTGGTGACGGGTATGTTCCCCAAATATAGTAGCACGCATTTTATCTAGGGAAAACTGTGTGAAAAATCAATTTCTTATCTACACATAAGCTAGTTCTCCTCCAAATAGGTGGGACATGTCTTTTAACGTGAGCGACGGAATTCTAGCCATAGATGATAGCCTTTGCTTCGTGGTATCACTTTTTCTATATATGGTTACTGAAAGATATAAATTCCGATAGACGCGAGCAATGGACCGGATTATTTCTGTCAATAAAATTTATTAATTAAAAATAGTATTTAAAAATAAAGATAAAATTGATTAATTTTGATTTTAATCTTTCAACGAAGAAGTTGATTTCTATGCATTTTAGATATTAAGAAAATTTATTGTGAGATTGTATTATCAATTTTATATTATAAAATTATTTAATTTTATTTAAATGCCAATGAAATATTATATGTCTACGCATTTTGTCTCTCGATTTGAATAAGGTGACTTAGTTCACTTTTTCAAATTCTAATTTATGAAACGAATGGATGTTGGCAAAATTTAATTTTTGCATTTTTTTGCGGCAAATTAGGTGAAAATAAAAATATTTTCATCAATCAATCTGAACTTGTATATTACTATATTAGTTACTTGAAATCAACTTTGATTAATTAAATGAAATATCTTGACGATCATAAAAATATAAAAAAAATTGCTAGATATCACAAAGCAAAAACAACGATATTACAGTGCTTGTAGAATCAACTCATGATTTGGCGGTTTAAAGAGGTTCATATCGACATATTTAAATTTACTCTTTATTCTCTACGTATGTGCACCAATTTTATCTAGACTAATATGTTTTATTATTTTATTACAGTTCTTATTTCGTTTATTATCTATTAGGTTGGTGCAAAAAATAATGACGTAATAATGTCGTTTTTTGACGTTAAAAAATACGTTACAAAACGACATTATTACGTCATTATTTTTGCACCAACCTAATATAATTTCAACTTACTGAAAAAGTACACGACTTATTTTATTCATTTCTATCACTCGATCTACGCATGTATTTTTGTATAAATTATAATTAATATTAACCTTATAATCATTTTCACATATATATATGTGTGTGCGGGTGTGTAAAGAAAGTTTGAATTTTTTATTCATTAAATCGACACAAACATGCACACACACACACACTCACATATATATATGCGTGTGTGTGTATAGCTTTTTTTTTCTCCCTTAAAATTTTATCCTTATTCAGATGTTTACTCCATGAGATTCTCAACATCCTTCTGTACACACACACACATATATATATATATATATATATATATATATATATATATATATATATATATATATATATATATATATATATATATATATATATATATATATATATATATATATATATATATATATATATATATATATATATATATATATATATTTCCTGTTAGTTATTTTTAGTGGTTACATGTGTTTAAGTCGTTATCCCAGTTTTTTGTTTCCTTTAACGGTAAAATTGATAACACCCGGCCTAAATCAAGAAGTCATACTAACGAAAAAAAATGTGTGTCCCAAGAAAGATAAAACCCGGACACTTTTTCATTAGAAAAAACACTCCTATGGCCGAAGCAAGCCATTTCCAATTATAGAAGTGGTTTTCCTGATGAAAAGATGGATAATAGGTTCGATTCCAGTGAGATGGCCCAATTTTCCTTTAGTAGAATTTATTGCTCTACTTCGTTTGTTATTAATTTCACTATTTAAAAAAATAAATAAATGGATAGCAAATCAAAAATGTGTGCCCACTAAAATAACGTTTATACTAAGAAATAGTGTGTGTACGTGTGCGTATATGCATATTATTAATATAATTATTTTCTATAGTATAATCTATTATATAAATATAGATTTAACCATTATATGAAGCATTAAAATATTTCGATTTCAATAGCAACATACTGGATCTAAATATTAACTGAAAATCCAATTTCTAGCTGATATTATATAATTATAATATAATAACATACTTAAATTGATATATAAATATATATATATATATATATATATATATATATATACTCGACTCGACTCTCCCGTCAAATTCGACGTATGAGGGTCAAGCAGATCAGCTCCTAGGAAACCGACAGCCCGACAACAGCACATGAGATTTGATTATAATGGTGAAGATTTCGTGCAGGACCATCGAATACAGAGACCTGGTGCACTACGTGCCACAAGGTCCCCAAACGACCCTCCACAGATTTTGAATTCAGAGTTGTCCTTCTCCTAGACCAGTTGCCATCCAAGGTTATAGAACCCAGTCTGTCCTGCTATTTACCCATAGCTGGAGGGAGAAGAACAGGATTCACACCTTTCCCAACGGTATTAGCACGTAAGTGAATGTAATGGATTCGACTGGAATTCGAACTCGGCTCTCCGATTCCTCAATCCAAGCCGTTATTCATTACTTCTGTTATTTTTTGAAGTTCAGCATATTTTTGCAGTATTTTCTATTTGATTCATTATTATTGCATTTATTACAGATCATCATAATTTTATTTATAGATTTAATGAATATATCTATATATAAGTATGAATGTATAAATTTATATGCTTGTCTTTGATTTTCTTTCTTTCTGTCAGTCGATCTACGCCAGTCTGTGTGTGTCTCTCTCTCTCACTCTCTCACTCTCTATCTATCTATCTATTTATCTATCTATCTATCTCTGCAGATTTATATATCCATTTAAGCCTACTTGTATGTAAAAGTGCTGAATATTTATTGGCTCTACTCGTTTTCAAAAAGGGAGACTCGACATGATTAATGATTAGTTAGGTTAATATGATTAAGCATTGCTACTGAGTAGTGAATCAGATCCTCACGTCCCATACAAGAATCGACATTAAATAACCCAGAAAGGGTTGACATGTCGTAAAATCAACCAAGGTATCCAAACCACTTTAGAAAATCTGGGAAAAACTCAAATGGGGAAATATTTCTTGGTCGAGCTGAGAATGTTTCAGCACCTAATTGTACTCTCTCTCTCTCTCTCTCTATCTATCTATCTATCTATCTATCTATCTATCTATCTCTCTCTCTATATATATATATATATACACACACTAGAACGCATATCTATCTATATCTATCTATCTATATCTATCTATCTATCTATCTATCTCTTTTTCACTCTCTAAAGTCTTTAAAAAAGTGAAACGAAGAC